TGTACAGCTCCACTATCACATCTAAAGAAATCTTGGCCGCGATGGGGTTTGAATCTCTCAGCATCGTGTACATGAAGTTCTGCAGGGTCTGAACAAAGAGAACGTTAGAACTAAAGCTCTGCTGGACAGAACTGACCACAGCATCACTGGGTTCAGCAGACGAGACTCACTGTGTTCAGCCTGTTGTTCTTGTGCTTTGCGTTGATGTTCTTGATGTCGGTCACGATGTGAGTGTACAGAGTCTGAGGAGAGACGAAGACGAGAGTCAGAGACACACCTGACCTTCACCGGTCAGCTGAGTGTTTACGGAGGAAGAGTGTGAGTCTCACCTTCCTCAGAAGCTTGTCGTGGCAGCGCAGCAGCTCGAAGAACAGCTCCAGAAGACTTGTGGGGTCGATCAGGTCTTTGTTCCTCAACAGGATCAACGCTTTGCAAAACGTCTAAGAGGAACAGAAGAAGCGTCGCCACATCAACAACAGTTCCGACAGCGCACTGACGGCACTTCATCAGCCTGACGCTGTGCCAGAAGTGTTTTTCTCTCAAACAAACATGATTTTGTTAAATGTTTTAGGAAGGAACCTAAAGGACTAAAGTCCAACGAACAGCCATGCAGGTTTCAGCACTTCGTGGAGGATTTGACCCTCTCTCTCTTTCGGGAGGCCACACAAGTACGGCTCAGCTTGACCCACCACCCTTCAAGACGCATAGAAGACAAGCATCAAGACTCGTCTCTGTCCTGGAGCTCAGGTGGTGGAACGAGCAGTAATGGAAGCGCTTGATGAAATGTAGCACTGCACTTATACAGCGTCTGTGTTTACATTCAGAGACTTCCTCCAGTCTGAACACATTCAGACTACAGATTCAGACTGAGGTGTTTATTCTCACTCTACTCAACAACCTGATGAGAATCTCCGTTTACATGCTCAACACAAGTAATCAGATCCAAAACGACACGTGTGGAGTACCACTTAGTGTAGCCGTTACCATGACAACCAGCATCACGTGAGTCCAGTCAGAGTGAGATGAGCAGCAGTGAGCAGTGCTTGTGTTTTTAATTGCTTTAAAATGATGTCAGACTCAGGAAAACGTCCTTCACACGTCCTTATTAAAGAAGGCCGAGAGGAAGACGTCGTGTTCTGAGACACATAAGCTGGACGTCCGTCCCACCGCCGTCTTTTAAAGATCAGAGCATAAACTTCGTCTCCTCTGCAGACCAGTTTCTGCTCCGCCATGTTGAACGGTATAAACTTTCACTTTGACGCGACGAACATGATCAGAACGGGCTTAAACTTTCCGATAGGGAACGTAATCAGATACAGGCGTTTACACGGATATTATTCTTCTATTTAACGGATTATTTACAGGATTACCCACCTCGATCAGTCGGATGGAGACTGTATTCTGAATGGCCTCAATCGGACTAGACTATTCCGACTGAGGTGATTACATGGACTCTATTCTGATTGAGCTATTAGTCGGATTATTAGGCTGCATGTAAACGTGGCTACTGTCTTAATTCTACATTGCGTGTATTTTTTCTAGGTTTCAGCTCTGGCAGTGTTTGAGCTCAGGGGTAGTTTGGGCTCTAACTTATGTGTTCTATCTACACTCTGAGTCGACAATAAAGCACCTAAATTTAAATAAAGTCCCTCTGGATAATTTCTTCTGCTAAACGGTGTAAATGTAAATGTTTACCAATGGCTAAAGGTTCTGTAGGATGGAAAACTGTACGTTCATTGGAATAGTTGAGTTCAGTACATGGAACTGAGACACTGTGAACCCCAAACTCTGCTGTCTCCTCCTTCAGATACAGATCCTGCGTTTGTAGAAGAGGCAGTAAAAGGGGCCGATTCCAAAATCCTGAACTGTTATGTAACAGTCTGGACTCATTAATATTTATGCCCTAAATTTACATACACCGGCCCACGTTCTAGTCCAGCGAAACAACAACAGAGCAGCAGCAATGAAAAAGGCCGACTGAGTGCAGAAATGCAGCTCCAGGCTGTGAAGGAACGTCAGCACTTTTCATTCCCTTCACAAGAACCGAACTGTCAGCTGAAGATCATCTTTAATCCAGGCTGAAGGGCTTCCTGTTCACAGCTTCTTCATCGAATGTTCCACCTTAAATGCTGCAGCTTGTACAGGCACCAGAATGTAACTGCAGCACCATTTAAGGTGGAACTGAAAATTCTCAAAACAAGCTGTTGAACAGGAACTTCAGCTCCCGCATCTCTAACAGGATCCCGACAGCTTTAACTCAGAGCTGTTAGCTTCTCTGCTCATTTCACTCCAGAGAGTTTCTCAGAGCTCAGACAGCATCGAGCAGCTTCGCTCAGCGTTCGACCCTGAAGAGACGCAGCCCACCTTTATTAGCACTACAACCCCAACAGCAGCCTGTAAGCAGCCCTGCTGAGAGACTTTATCACTGTCTGATGAAGCTGATCATCTAAACTGAGAGCTTCATAGTAAAATAACAGCTTTAATTCACTTTGTGTTGTTGTTGAGATTGAAAGCGAGTAGCTCGTGTAGCTAATGTTAGCTACTAGCACGCTCACAGTAACCCAAATCATGGGTCCACTGTCTGTGCTATGGGTGGGCAACAGTCTTACCATTCGGAGGTCCGGCTCCAGCACTGTGTGGTGATTCAGGAGGAGCTCGGTCAGTTCTTTGGGGAAATTGGACAGCTCCTCCAGATAGCAGTGACCAACCTGCAGAACAAAGCCACAGTGATCAGGAACATCAAACAATTCATCTATAACTGTAAAAGACACAAAAGTGTCACGGATGGACGAAGTGGACTGTACCTGGGCCAGAAACATCACCAGCTCGGCCAGGTCTTTGTTGGGTTTGTCTGGCTGGTGTTTGAAGATCTGGATGTTGGACTGATAGTGACGGAACTGCTGGAGGAACTGCAGTGAGAGCAAAAGGAGAGCTTTAATTACATTATTAGCTCAGGAGGAGGGATAAACAGCTGCACCGTCTGTATGTACACTGAACACAGGCTGTGCCTTTAAAACTGATACATGTAAATGAGGTCTGTCCTGATTGGCTGCCTCATTCAAAAAGCAGTCCAGGCTGAAACGCTAACTTCAGCATTAACGAGTGGAGCTAAAGAGCTGAAGGCTGAACGTGCCTGTCTGAGACGTAAATGCAGTGGGTTTTCATGACATCACAAAAACAACAAAATCAAAATGGGCTGTTTTTGCAGCATAGTTTCCATATAAGTGTTATAATTCTGTATCTTATTATTATAAATATATCTATATTTGTATTTATTTTACCTCCTGTGTGTAGCGTTGTATTTTAAACTCTGAATATTAATATTTTTGGGTGTATTTGTGTTTATTTTAGGATCAGGTCTCTCTATCAGGTTCTGCAGTGTTTGTGTATATTAGTGTGTGTTTGTGTGTAAATGTATTAGTATATGAATACATATAAGTTTATATTTGTGTGTATTCTTGTGTGTGAGTGAGTGTTTGCGAGTGTATATTAGTGTGTGTGGATATACACCGATCAGGCATAACATTCTGACCACCTCCTTGTTTCTACGCTCACTGTCCATTTTATCAGCTCCACTTACTATATAGGTGCACTTTGTAGTTCTACAGTTACAGACTGTAGTCCATCTGTTTCTCTGATACTTTGTTAGCCCCCTTTTACCCTGTTCTTCAGTGGTCAGGACCCCCATGGACCCTCACATAGTATTAGTATACTAGTGTTTACCTCCTCTGTGTAGGATCTCGGGTCTCTCTTGATCAGGTTCTGCAGTTGAGGCAGGTTGGTGGGCAGTTTGTTGTTGTGTCTTCCCGACATGACTGCAGTACGAGTTTAAAGACCGCAGTGCGAGTTTAAAGACCGCAGTACGAGTTTAAAGACTGCAGTGCGAGTTTAAAGACTGCAGTGCGAGTTTTAAGTGAGTTACTCCTCTTTGTTCGGGGGGTGAACGGCGGGTTTTCTCTGTAATGAGTTTAAAGTCCGGCTCTGTTTGTGAGGCAGCGTGGCTCACCGGGGCAGCGCCATATTGACCGTGACGTGTGTGCAGTACGGAGAGGACGGAGGGACAAACTGAGCGCTCGCGGGAAAGCGTTACAAAAAAACACCAACGAGGTTTCGATTAAAACGCCCGCTTTCATTTTTACTCTTATTTCGTTCCTCTGAGCTCCACTTTCAGCATCAGCGCTCAGTGAAAGCCCCTCGTGAGCAAATGACGTTAAGCGTTCCTGTACACGCGCTGAATATTCATAAATACTTCATAGATGTTGCTGTATATGTGGTAAATATTCGTAAATAGTACTTAGAAGTTGCTGTATGTGTACTGAATATTCATAAATAGTACTTAAGTTGCTGTATGTGTACTGAATATTCATAAATAGTACTTAGAAGTTGCTGTATGTGTGCTGAATATTCATAAATAGTACTTAAGTTGCTGTATGTGTGCTGAATATTCATAAATAGTACTTAAGTTGCTGTATGTGTACTGAATATTCATAAATACTACTTAAGTTGCTGTATGTGTACTGAATATTCATAAATACTACTTAAGTTGCTGTATGTGTACTGAATATTCATAAATAGTACTTAAGTTGCTGTATGTGTGCTGAATATTCATAAATAGTACTTAGAAGTTGCTGTATGTGCTGAATATTCATAAATAGTACTTAAGTTGCTGTATGTGTGCTGAATATTCATAAATAGTACTTAAGTTGCTGTATGTGCTGAATATTCATAAATAGTACTTAGAAGTTGCTGTATGAGTACTGAATATTCATAAATAGTACTTAGAAGTTGCTGTATGAGTACTGAATATTCATAAATAGTACTTAGAAGTTGCTGTATGTGTGCTGAATATTCATAAATAGTACTGAAGTTGCTGCATGTGCGCTGAATATTCATAAATGTAATTAATTCAGTGCTGTGTAAGTACTTAATTTGATTTCAATATCCAGCATTTTTTCATTTGTTTATTATAATTAAAAACGCAGAAACGAGATCCCACAGCGTTAAAGTGAAAAGCTTAAAGGCTGATACTCTTTTATTTACAAATTGCAAATTGTCCAGTATGTAACAGTTTAAACATATCAACAGTTTCCATGTGATAAATATGTACACTTCCATTTCATTGATTACCTCTGGCACTCAGCGATCGATAATCGATTTACAAAGCAAATACTGTCGTCGTTTTCTGTCGAGGCAACAAGTTCCAGCATCATATCACTTTAAAATACACATGAATGGTTTTGTTCCACATAAAATAGGAATTTATTCATCACTTATGCTCAATCATTTCTGTAAAAAGTAGCGAAAAATAGAGATAAATTATAAAACCGATGGTTTCCATTGTTGCATCTTTAATAAACAGCATTTAAAGGGAAGGAAACCCAAACAGGAATGTACAAAACTGTTAAAAACACGTGTGTAACATCGTAAGGCAAGTTTGATCGTAAGTTTAAGGAAGTTCTCGTTGGCGTTCCAGCTTTCGCAGTAAGGCAGTAACAGTCCTCGGTTCTCAGCCTGAGATTTTCTCCTCAGCTTGCAGACATCGGAGCACATAGAGAATCACCTGGTAGCAGAAAATATACTGTTCCTGCAGAGACGAGGGGAGAAATTACAGATAATCAAATTATCAGGCAGGAAAAGTTCATTTCTCAACATTCCTCTGAAAGAACGTGCTGAATATTCATAAATAGTACTTGGATGTTGCTGTATTTGTCCTGAATATTCATAAACAAATAAAAAAATACAACTGATTACAAAATTATCAGGCAGAAAAGGTTAATTTTTCAAACTTCCTCTGAATGAATGAAATATGAAAAGGCTGAGCTCAGTCTGACGTATTCAAGCATTTTATTTCATAAAAAGTGTAAAAAATGTCAAAGTATTTATTTTTGAGTAATTTAAGGTTTGTCTAAGTGAGAATAACACAAAAGTCCCTATTCAGAGAACACAGTTAAATATGACATTTTATATGACAATATAAAGTGTGCCATAACATTCGCACAGGCCACATTTAATATTTTATCCCCCCCCCAAATGTATTAAATCTAGTGACTAAACAGTAATTGTGTATTTAAGTGTACAGTAGTGAGTCTGTCTCTTATTAGTGTACTGTAAAAATAATGCTGTAGCTACGAAACTGAATACTGTATTATAAGACCTCCCCAATAAAACAACAACAACAACACACCCTACCTCTGTCTGCACCATGCCTTGTCTCTGAAGTCTCATGGTCCGCACGACATCCGAGATGTCAAACTGATAACAGGGAGAAGAACGTCACATGATCAGTTAGTGATCAGAGAAAAGCCAAACATACAGAATCTACAGTTTTAGTCAAGATTTGTGATTCTGATCAGCTTCATCTTCTGTCTGAGTTCACCTGCTGATCCAGAGTTTCCTCTGTAATGAAGGTGTTCATAGTGAGTCTGTGCTGCAGTAACAGCCTCTACTCTTCTGGGAAGGCTTTATACTGGATGTTGAACATTGCTGTGAGGAACTGTTTCACAGTGGTGGTGATAGGAACCAGACGTCCACCTCTAAAAGCTCCCTCACAGAAAGTTCCTACATGAAATGGTTATGAATTCACTGCCTGATGACTGAGACACTGTTTTATGATAGTTTAGAGAACTTAAACTCCATTCATGGTGGAGGGATACATGCAGGGCGCTGTGAGGCAAAATAGTCCCCAAAGAAAACTTATTATTTCAGATTTTCCACTATTTTCCATCATCAACATTCCATATAAACTCAGAAGACTCGTGTAGGTTCACTGGTGGTTCTGGATAGTAAATAAAATGTCTATATCTGTGTTGTAGTCATGGCGACCCCTGGTTCCTATCACCACCACTGTGAAGACATCTGAACCATTTCACACCAAACCTCTCTGAATCTCTCTGTTTACATCTCACACACTGAATTATGGGGGAATTTTCAGTGGAATTCCCCTTACAGTATCTGAAATCACTCACTGGAGAGGCTGGATACTTTCGGACAGACAGAGTTTCAGACTGGACGGCGTCTTCAGTGATTCAGATTTTCAGTTCTTCTCCTAAATTACTCACGTCTGCGTCTTTGCTGATGAGTCCGAGCACCACGTCTATGCAGATGAGCGTTCCAGACCGGCCAATCCCAGCGCTGCAATGGGTGATGATGGGCCCTGATTGGTGGATGTGTCTCATGTAGGAAATGAAGGTTAAGAGCTGCTCCGGCTGTGTGGGAGTGCCGTGGTCAGGCCAGCCCGTGTAGTTCAGGTGCGTCACTCTCTGGATTTCATTGGTCTGGAGGAAAAGGTGGAACATTAAATTGTGAGTAGATCAAAAAGGACGACTACAAGATCTCAGCAAGCCAAACTAAACCAACCAGCGAACTAAACCGAATCTTCATCTGTTTTAACCTTCAGGTCCTTCAAGTTCTGCAGAGAAGTCCTGATGATTTCTGAGAGCCAAATAAAATAAGTTTTTATAGAGTTGTTTTTTTTTGCTCCTGGGCGCCCCCTACAGATGCAGAGCGTATTTCACCTTTACAACAGTGCCGTAAACACAAATCACGCTGTGAGCGCCCCCTCATGGACACATCACGCAGGCATATGGACACCACCGATCACACTCAGGAGTCCCAAATGGCCAGGACCCCCCAGCGGGAGGGATTTCAAGGGTCCAAGATGACATTTAGGATGTGAGCATGCAAGTATAAGACACATCTGACCAAGCGGACGGGATCTCCTGACCTGGATATCCTTGACTTCGATGAGGCGGATGATGAAGTTGTCCAGGTGCTGGTCTTTGACCAGAGTGATCTGCAGCCTCTCGTCCACCATCTCGGCCGTGCGGGGGGTGTCGGGCCAGTAGCGCTGGCATTTAATCTTCCCCCCCTTCCACCTCCTGGGTCATCATGGCGATCACGTTGGACTTCTGCTCCCACACCATCTGCCAGAAGTCTCCCAGCGTGGTGGGCAGCGGCCCCTGGCAGGCGATGTACTGGAAGTTCTCGTCCTTCACCGGCATCTTGATGAAGTTGGCGTTAATGTAGCCGCCGTCTTTGCCCAGGAGCACTCGGGTGGTGTCGACTGGAGAGGAAACAACATGAAATAATGTCAAAATAAACCTCAGTGCTTTCCTCACTGACAGGCAGCAGAGTAACCTGAGAATCAACGCTTTTCTGGATGAGGGAAACTCAAACAGTCTCACAGCAGTTTAAATATTAAGATCTTAGATATTTACAAGCATTCTGATCTATTTACACTCAACGCATTAATGGAGACAACAATAACAAATATATACAGTCATCATTTATAGGGTACGTTCTGATGAGCAGTAGATCCCATTGTTTTGAAGTAAATGAGTCCCAAAGTCTGAAAGTCAGTGTGGAACATTAAGAATTGCCATATTTTCTGCAGTTCAGCACTTTTTAGTGTTTTAATGTAAAATATGATGATTTTCTGTGTGAACAGCTGTTCAAAGCTGTGTTTGCTGGTCTGTACTGGCTGAGAAACAGTCACTACTGAAACAATCACTACTGAAACAGACACTACTGAAACAGACACTACTGAAACAGACACTACTGAGACAGTCACTACTGAAACAGTCACTACTGAAACAGACACTACTGAAACAGACACTACTGAAACAGACACTACTGAAACAGTCACTACTGAAACAGTCACTACTGAAACAGACACTACTGAAACAGACACTACTGAAACGGTCACTACTGAAACGGTCACTACTGACACAGTCACTACTGAAACAGTCACTACTGAAACAGTCACTACTGAAACAGACACTACTGAAACAGACACTACTGACACATTTGGTACAGTTTGGGTAGTTATGATTGGTTTGTAATGTTTAATTAAGTTATAGCGTCACTCAGAGCAAAATGATATATATATACACACACACACACACACACACACACACATACATACACATATATATATATATGTACACACACATATATATATATATATATATATATATACACACACATATATATATATATATATATATATATACACACACATATATATATATATATATATATATATATATATATATATATATATATATATATATATACACATATATATATATATATATATATATATATATACATATATATATATAAACAACCGTGTAAACAACAACCATGTCATGTACACTACTGTATCAGTTTGGAATCACTAATCATGTTAATAATTTTTGATATTTTATATACAATAATAACCTGGATTTACATATTACAAACTATTTTCCCAAAACATTTAGATTTTGTTAGATTCATTCGACGTTTAAAGAACTCAAGAAGTTGAGTTAAATAATGTATTATGTGCTGTAACTGTCCATAACTGAATCCACAGTTATCGCCTTTGATTCTGGATGTTATTCTAACTTAATTCTCAGTGTTTTACAGCATCTTCAGTTATTTAAAGCCTTGTACAGCTCTGTTCATCACTCTGGACATGATTTACAGCTTTATACTGATTATCTGATCAATGAAAACTGTGAAGTTGAACAAGACAAACGTTTAGAATCATTTTATATACCCAGATTTTATTTTGTTTATATATACAAGTATATAAATATCTAGTTTTATACTGTCTCGAACATTAATTCCAAAATTTTGAACAGTGATGGAACTGACGCTGTTGTTTCAAACACAGAATCACAGGTAGGACAGGTCACAGGTAATAAAGATCAAAGGTAGTCAGAACAGAGGACGACTGCGCTCAGTGTTCACTTACAGGGCACGATGTTTTTATAACGGTTCTTCTTCTTGTTCTCCTGAGTCTGACCAATCAGGCAGTCGTCCAGAGGCTGCAGGTTCTGGAGATTCTGTAAATACATGAACTGAACTGAACCACCAACAACGACCTGGTACACCGGCATTATATGGGCATTATATAACTGACATTATAGATGATGGATATAGTCCTCAACATCGGTGAACTATGTCAGTAAAACTGATGAGCAGTATCACGGCCTGTCAGTATCGTGATATACTGGTATAGATGATATATCACACGGCCTTCTGTTCACAGATGAACTCATTTGATAGTGAAGATGTAACAAGCCGACGGTCCTGACGCACTTTCAGTAGAATCTGAAATCCTAAATCTGACGACTCGAAATGCAGCTCAAATTAACCAACTTAACATACAAATGCACTTCAATGTACCTCGAACTCCTGCAGGGGAACCTTCTGCTCCAGCAGTCCTCTCATCATCCGCACCACGGAGTTCAGCTTCGGCCCGGTGTACTGACCGTCAGGAACCACCTTCACCAGCGGCAGAGACGTCAGCTCGTCCTCAGTGATGATGGGACCATCTGAGGATGGTTATATGAACTCAGTTAGAAGAACACAGGATTGTTTCCTGACTTCTCACTGTTCTGCACCTTTGTTCAAATCCCTCAGCAGAAATGAATTAACTGAATGACTGATTAGATAAACTAGGTACTGGATGGTGAGAGTAAATACTGGTTTATTCTAATGTTAGTTTTTCTGGAACAAATGAACACTTAGTGCCTGGATAAATAACTTTATAGATCATTTTCTAAGATGCCCATTATTATTAAGACATCACCACAATCAGCTCAGTCACTCAAACATTCCAGTATAAATAATAATCCTTTCCATACAACCATTTCCATTTTGAATACTTGGACAAACTGAGTGACGTTAATCCTTTAAAGGTGTTTTTGTATTTATGGTGAAATGTCTGTGTTTCTCTCTGTAATGTCTCTAAAAACTTAAATGAAAATGAAAACTTTAATTGGCCTGAGAAGAAACTACAAACGCAAGAAAAGGGTTCAGTTCGTTTCTGTTTGTGTAAAATCAGAGGGAAATGGTAGAAGCAGGGCTATTTCTGTAAGCACCCAGGCCAGCGTTAATGAAACTGGTTAACTAGAGTCTGTAAATAATGATGGAGATGATCTCAGTCGGTGGTGGATTAATGTGATGTGTCCTGATGGAAGGAAGCAGCCTACAGCAGTAGCAGCTAACTGACCAGGTCAGTAGAGGAGGCTGAAGACTGACCCGTTGCTCAGGTGCTGAATTAGCTGTTCTGATCTGACTCTCTCTTCTCCTCCTCAGGTCCTCTTGTCTCTCCAGATTTGCCAAATTATGAACACAAACCGCGGTGCTGCAGGCTAGTTTACTGAGCTAGCTAGCCAGCTAACGCTACACATCTCTGATCTAATACTGTTTATTACACGACGTATAGACCAATCGCGAGAGATCAGGGGGTCGAGGGACACAGGTGGGTCTTTCTACATACTGGATACACGTTCTAGTTCATCTCTTGCGCTAACGTTCCTGACCAGTCAAACTACCAGCTGGAAAATCTCCAGGTATTCCCGAAGGGCAGTCCAAGCCTGGAGGGGCCAAATAAAAAAAATAAAAATAAAAATTGGGGGTCTGGTCGCCGCAGGCCCCAGTGCGACTGCCCACCCTGCCCCCGTCTAGTTACGCCACTGAACAAGAGGAAGGCCTTCGTAACAAACCACTTGTTTATTTATTTACTAGCTTATTTACTTTAAAGACTTACCTTGGGTGAATTTGGAGTTTATGTCATCTATAGGAAGGTCATCACTTCCCCACGTGATCTCATCCTCGTCCAGCTGCCCTGAGGATGACTGCAGGAAACTGAGGAGAAAAATCGAGACCAGTTAAAGTCAGCATGACCGAGGAAATGTAACTCAGCACGATGCTAGTCAGCGCAGGCGTCTGTTAGCTGACGTAACAGATCTGCCGGTTGGCGTCTCCTCCGAGCGCGTTCAGCTGTACAGCGACGCTGCGTTAGCGGCAGTTTGTAAAGATGCGGTGGAGCTTCACAGAACTCAGAGGAAGCCTGTGTTTGCCTTCGCCCTCCTAGAGCTGCTGGTATCATGTGATTGGGAGAGTCTACTGACTAGTGGGTGGAGTAGGATACAACTGAACTGGGGGAAAATTGCCCCAATTTCAAAATGTACACATAATTACATGTTAAGATGTAAACAAAATCATTTAGAGTGGTTTGACTTACAGTCTGTTCACAGCGGTGGTGACAGGAACCATGTTCTAATGTAACAGGAACCATGTACGTTTCAGACTGACTGTTTCTGTCTCACCACCAGAGGTGGGCGATACAGCAAAAATATATTACTGTGATGCGTCAAGCAATCTTCACCATACAAAAGATATCTTGATATTTTCAGACATCTGATCACAACACCCATAGAAGTCCTGATGCTACGTTCACCTTCATCTAGAACAACACTCAATTATCAGAAGAGCAGCATCTGCAAACACTAATGAAGTAATGCTTCATCTCTGATTTCCACACCTGTCATTCTGTGGAATGTCCACATTCTGCTCCTGCCACTCCGCCTTCCTTGAGGTCTGGAGAAACACAGAAAACAAGGGTTTAAATACAAACTCATTACATATATAAACTCATTACATATATAAACTCATTACATACATAAACAATGCACATTTGTCTATGCTGACAACGCAAAGCAGTGCATGAATAACAATTTCCATTCAAACACTTCGCAAATTATAAGCGAATTTCTGGAAAGTCGGTAACAGAAAATGCAAACTGATCAGTGTTTCCATCGTCTATGATCATGGCCACATTGTCGAGACGGGGGTACAGCTGTGCTCCATTTAGATAATTTAATGAGGGGGATTCACCCAGAGGTCTTATACGGTTTGGCAGCCATTACTGGACTACTTTAACATGGAATTCCCTGCTAGAAACACTGAAATATAAAACCTGTTTCCAAAAAAAGCTGAGACGCTGTGCAAAGTGTAAATAAAAACAGAAAGGGCCCAAAGATCACGGCCAGAAAATACTGGTTTTTGGCCTCGTCCCTCACATACAGAGATTTCTCCAGATTCTCTGAGTCTTTTAATGATATTCTGTACCGTAGATGATGAAAAACAGAAGTTCTTTGCTATTTTACGTTGAGAAGCGTTATTCTTGAATTGTTGCACTATTTGATGGTGCAGTCTTTCACAGAGTGGTGAACCCCTCCCCATCTTTACTTCTGAAAGACTCCGCCTCTCTGAGATGCTCTTTTTCTGCCAATTAACCTAATTACTTGTTCCACCAGGTGTTTTTTTAGCATTACACAACTTAACCAGTCTTTTGTTCCCCCGTCCCAACTTTTTTGGAACGTGTTGTTGGCATCAAATTCAAAATGGGCAAATACCTTTCAACAAACAATACAATTTATCAGTTTCAACATTTCTAATGTTGTGTTTGTATTATTTTCAATTAAATATAGGATTTAAATGATTTGCACATAATCACATTCTGTTTTTATTTACATTTCACACAGCATCCCATCTTTCATGGAAACAGGGTTACAGGACTATGTTTCAATTAACTGACAATCTCTGAAATAATAACCTCTCATCTTCTTGTTATTTGTGGTCTTGTTGGTTGTATGCATTGTATGTTTTTAAAAAGCCAATAATAAATATTTGAAAAATACAAAATATTCGAATAATAAAATGTTGTAATAGTATCCTAAACCGAGATTAAAGATTAGGTAACTGTCTTGGCTTTCCTAAAACGCTTGTTTTGGCAGGGAGGAGCAGAGCTGTACCTCTGGAGAATCTTCAGGGAGAGAGGAACCATCACAGTCTGTGTCTTCAGACACATCAGCTTCCGGCTTCTTCTGCCTCTCCAGAGAACCATCATAGTCTAGAACACACAAACACAAAGAAATTACATCTGGCTTCCTCACCACAGAGCCCACAACCGTCATAATAAAATGTAGAAAAGAGTTCCTTCTGAGTGACCCACACATTAACACAGTTTAATTAGAAATAACAAGCAGTAGTTTACACGACGGCCCGACGGCGTCCAGAAAGTCCTTCTGCTGTTCAGCAGTGTTCAACTGACCGCAGCCTGTTTAATCTCCATAGAAAAGCACTGACCAATAGAATGGAGCTCTGGATCAGCTGCACATGACCCTAAGGTCTCCATGTCCAATGCCCAGCATGGGCTAGAGGGGTATAAAGCCCCCCAGCATTGGGCTGTGGAGCAGTGGAGCTGTGTTCTCTGGAGTGATGGAGCTCCATCCAATACCTTTGGGATGAGTGACCCAGAACTGACCATCCAACATCAGTACCTGACCTCACTAATGCTCAATCAGATCCTCACAGCAATGTTCAACATCTAGAAGCCTTCCCAGAAGAGTGGAGCTGTTACTGCAGCACAGACTCACTATTAACACCTTCATTTCAGAAGAAACTCTGGAGTCGACAGAGTTTTGGACTCACACTGTATTAGAAAATAGACTGATACACCATAACCTCCATGAGTACGTAGAACCTGGCTGTGGAAAAACTGTAAGCTCTAGTGGCCATAATGTAGAACATTACTAGAACCTTTTAAATGGACTGCATGGTGGTGTGGAAGTGAATTTGTACCTATAGGTGGGAGGGAAGGAGGACTTCTGGACTTGCGTGCCTCCGGTGAACTGCACAGTTTAGTCTTCACCCCACTGTCCTCACTCACATCTACAACACAGAACACAGGAGAACAAGAGGTTCTATCATTTCATTCATTCTGTTCATCCACTGATATGTTACAGTGCACACTTCACATCTGAATCAGATGAAGAACAGAGAACACGGACCCAACGTTCTCCAAACAAGAACTAACATTCTAATGTCTGCAGTTCATGTTCAGTAAAACAGCTGACAAGCCAAACAGTGTAAATGAAGCAAGAATAATCTAGAACTGTGTCAATGGGGGAGAAATCAGACCCCAGTGTGACTGGGGTGTTCTAGAGCACTGTGGGAAGCTCTTTACTTTACAGATCAGTAATCAGTGGGTAATGATATGGTTATTAATGATATGTTATATTATGGTAACAAGCTGTATTTACCTAAAAGTTGCAGTAACAACTTGGTTATAATACACAATCATTTTTATACGTTAATAATAATAACAGCCTGAAAATGACCGATCTGTCCTTCTCTGTCCCTATAAAACATTCTAGAACAGTGTCATTTTTTGTGGATGAGGGTGAACTCTGTAGAACAGGATGGGTTATAGGGTAAACAATTCTAGAACCGTGGGAATGGGGGTGAACATTATGAAGCAGAGTGAATGGAGGTGGAAACTCTACAACACTGTGAAAAGAAGGAGAACGTTCTAGAACCATGTGATGGAACATGGAACAGTATGATATTGTGGAGTAAACGCTCTGAGAACAGTTTAACTGTGGAGAAGAGTCTAGAACAGTATGATGGGGTGGGCACTGTAGAACAGCATGATTGGACTGAATATTCTAGAACAGTGTAATAGGGTCAACATTCCAGAACAGTCTGAGGGGAAACAGAACAGTGTGAATGGACTGAGAACACTCTAGAACCGTGTGTATTGAGAACAATCTAGAGAACGCTGGTTCTGTATACTCCAGGAAGAACTCCAGTAAATATATCTGTGTTGATTTTACTGTAAGCCTATCAGGGTCGCTATGAAAGGGGAGCCGAGATAAAGAAGCTACACTGTCACACCGCCCTGCGTCAGCGGGAGTGAGCTGACCACTTCAGTCAGTAATCATGTTTGTGAGTAACCGATGGTTCCCTGTTCTGAAGGAACCCCCAGAGGACAGGTTCAGCCGTCAGGGGTCAGAAGATCTGACGATACCTGTGTTGCCGTTGCAGGTGCTGGAGTTCGGGGGCAGGAAGCCAAGGTACGTGGTGGGTGTTTGGTCAGGAGGCCGAGACACCACGAGGTGAACGACTCCTTTAGTCTTTCGGATGGCGGCGACAGCTTTGGAGTGAGACACACCGGCCATCAGCTCGTTATTCACCTGGAATCACACACACACACACACACACACACACACACACACATACACACGCGCACAGTCTTCATCAGCACTGCACTGACAAAACAACACTGACTATAGACAAACAGACAGACAGTCAGTCAGAATATGGGGACAGACAGATATACAGATAGACAGTGTTCATCAGCACTGCACTGGCTTATACTGACAGAAAAACATTGATTATAGACAGACAGACAGACAACAGAGTCAGAATAGGGAGACAGACAGACAGATAGGGAGACAGACATACAGAGAACATATAGAGAGATAGTCTGACAGAGATGGACAGAAAATAGACAGACAGACAGGCGTCTATCCAGGGTACCTTCCACATGCCCCGCTCCATAATTACAACATGGAGAACATATGTATATCCCTCGTTATCCACTGTAACTGACCGCTCGTTACGCCCCCTTCGTTAAGGCTCATTACTTCATCTCCAGTTAACTGATCTGACTCACTTTGAGCAGACGATCTCCGACCTGCAGCGTCCCGTCAGCGTGCGCCGTGCCTCCCGGAGTGATGGACTTCACAAAGATCCCTCTCTCTCCACCAATCACGGAGAAGCCCAGGCCCCCTGCTGGCGGCTTCTCCAACTGCAGCTGGATCATCTGCTCCTGAGGACGCAGAGGAGCAGAGAGATCATCAAGGCCCAGTCGGCTCAGCCATCAACTCAACTCACACAACGGACTAGATTTACAGATCGAGTTCTGCTGAAGCTGCTAATTCTGAGCGCAGCTGCTGGTCTGAGCCCAAATGGGCATTCAGAATGAAGCAGAGTTAGACAGGTGCTCACCTCAGGGGGACAGACGGCCTCCAAATCAGGATCACTGCTATGGAGGAAACCTGAGAGAGAGAGAGAGAGAGAGAGAGAGAGAGAGAGAGAGAGAGCGCTTTATGGTCAAGGAAGGACCTGATATTCAAATGATGAGTTAGAAAGTCAACTGAGAGCTTCTGGAGGCCACATCAGCACAAGAACTGAGCGTCAGGATCTTCATGAAATGGGTTTCTATGGCTGAGCAGCTGCATCCAAGCCTAAGATCACTATGCGCAATGCCAAGTGTCGGCTGGAGTGATGTTAAGCACCGTCACTGGACTCTGGAGCAGTGGAAACGTGTTCTTTCCTGTTCCAGCATGACTGAGCCCCTGTGCACAAAGCAGCTCCATAAAGACATGGAGTGACCAGTTTGGTGAGGTGGAACTCCAGTGGCCCTCACAGAGCCCTGACCTCAACCCCACTGAACACCTTTGGGATGAACTGGAACAGAGATTGTGAGCCAGGCCCTCTCGTCCAGCATCAGTGTCTGACCTCACAAATGCTCTTTTCCCAGAAGAGTAGAGGCTGTTACAGCGACAAAGGGGGACCAACTCCGTATTAATGCCCATGGATTTGGAATGGGACGTCCAACATGCTCATATAGGTGTGATGGTGATATAGTTTGTATCAGTGAAGTCTAAATAACTCCAAAAGTTCATCAGTAAGGCTTTCCAGCCCAAACGTACAGAACACATACACAAAGGCAAAGCTAAGCTAGAAAGACTGCGAGGAGAGTTTCATTAACAGAAATGGAGAACGTGCTGCAACAGCGGCACCTCTGGAGGAAAAGCTCACCGTTCATACCGGACGAGGTGCCGTCTTTAGGGCCGAGGTTGTTGTTCAGGATGGAGATACTCTCGAGCTCAGGACACACCGGCTTCCCATCCCTGCAGCGAGAGAACGCGGGGTCAGCACACGGAAAAAGAGTCACCAAAGGGGGACAAAGGCCCCGATTACAGAAGGAACGCTGGTGTCAGTGAGTATTTAGTGTAGTGAGTATAAAGTGACCTGGTGGCCTTCAGGGTGAGCTCCCTCAGAGAGAGCTCCAGCAGCCTGCGGCTCTCGCTCAGCGTCAGGTCCTGAGTGGGAGCCCCGTTGATGTAGTGGATGAGGTCCAACTGTTTGAGGCTTCCCTCTGAAGCAGCCGTGGAGCCCGGCACAATGTCCTTCACATACAGCACCCCCAGATCACTGTCCCGACCTCCGTCCAGCACCAGACCTGCAACACACACACACGCGCACAAATAAACACATACATATATATATATATATATATATATTCTTTCTCAGTAAACGTACTATAATACATGCTCTTGCTTGTTGTCTCAGATCCTTCAATCTACTGTTCATGTAAAAGGCATGATAGTAAGCCTGATACTGAGTCTGACAGTGATCTGGTAGTGAGTCTGACAGTGGTCTGACAGTGGTCTGATAGTGGTCTGACAGTGGTCTGACAGTGGTCTGATAGTGAGTCTGATAGTGAGTCTGATAGTGGTCTGACAGTGGTCTGATAGTGAGTCTGATAGTGGTCTGTTAGTGATCTGATGGTGATAGTTTGATGGTGGTCTGACAGTGATCTGACAGTGGTCTGATAGTGGTCTGACAGTGGTCTGATAGTGGTCTTTGTGTTTGTCCAGCAGAGTGCAGCTCCTCCCTCAAACACACACACAAACCTGCCTATCAGATCTCTCACTCTCCCATCAACACAGCTGGTAAGAATTCTTCTTAACACTTGTTTGTTTATTTATTTGTTTATTTATACAAATGCACACTTTCTCTCCCCAGTTTAGTCGTGCCCAGTTTCTCCCTCTGTCACATGAGGCTACTAAGCTGGGGGGTGAGCGAGAGCTTCTTACTGTATTTTAAGAAACCCGGTTGGTACTCACTCAGCTGAAATCCACTTTTGAAAAAAGGAACACTTCTAATAAATTCAGCCTCTGTTTATGTTACCATAGCAATGACAGGTCAGTATGTGGATATAATTGCAGTAACGAGCTCATTTCACATGGAAATTAAACCTGTACGTCACTGCACTGCAGCAGCTAACTACGATAAACACCTGCGCAATGCAGTTTCACCTCAAACAGTCTCATAAGTCTCAAACTCCATAGATGGGTTTTATTGATTCTTAATCATTTTTTTGATGCAACTGGCAATAACGTTACTGCCACTTAATCTTAATCTAACTTTTAATTTCTAATCTGATTTTTAATTTGATGATTGTTTAAATCATGTTTTAAACATGTTCCTGACTCTGTACACACTTTGAATGACAGCCGTTTATGAAAGGTGCTGTATAAATAAACTCGTCTCGCCTAAAATGAAAACAAAACTCCCATCACCACATTAATGGGCTCACCCAGAGAATCGCTGGGACAATGGAAGGTGATGTCAGGCAGAAGGTGGGCCTCGATTGGTGGTTTTGGGGGTTCTAAGATACGCCCCACCACCAGATCCACCACTCTGGGTGCAGCTCGGACGAGGTTGACCACCTCAGTGTGACTCATACCGGACACGTCTGTGTTATTGACCTGCAGGAGGAGAGGAAGACGCTGTGAACATGACAGTCAGCAAATCATGAAACATCAGTACGAATGTTCCTCACACAACACAAAGACGGATAAGGACGTCACTGCTGAAGAGAACACCTGAAGGTTCTCTGCTCATGTTCTCTATAACTTCGATTCTCTAACGTTCTCTATAATAACTAATTTAATATTAACTTTATTTACATTTTACATGTAGACAGACGCAGAAGCGCTCTATAATGTAGATCAGATCAACCACGAGAATAAAACCACAGGACCCCCACAGAGCAGGTACTATTTGGGTGGTGGATCATTCTCAGCACTGCAGTAACACTGACGTGGTGGTGGTGTGTTAGTGTGTGTTGTGCTGGTCTGAGTGGATCAGACACAGCAGTGCTGCTGGAGTTTTTAAACACCTCAGTGTCACTGCTGGACTGAGAACCAGAAACATCCAGCCAACAGCGTCCAGAATGACCAACACAAACTGTGCAGCAGCAGATGAGCTACCGTCTCTGATTTTACATCTACAAGGTGGACCGACAAGGTAGGAGTGTCTAATAGAGTGGACAGTGAGTGGACACAGTGTTTAAAAACTCCAGCAGCACTGCTGTGTCTGATCCACTCAGACCAGCGCAACACACACTAACACACCACCACCACGTCAGTGTTACTGCAGTGCTGAGAATGATCCACCACCCAAATAGTACCTGCTCTGTGAGGGTCCATGGGGGTCCTGACCACTGAAGAACAGGGTAACGGAGTATGCAGTGAAACAGACGGACTACAGTCTGTAACTGTAGAGCTACAGAGTGAAACTCTACGGTCAGTGGAGCTGATAAGGTGGACAGTGTTATGGCTGAGGGGTGTGTTCTGATTAACTCCACTGTCGAGTGTTTACCATGATCATGCGGTCGCCGGGCCTCAGTCTGCCGTCTCCTTTAGCGGGGTCCTGGATGATGTCGTGGATGTAGCAGTTGTGGTCATTTCCTTTCGTCAGGGTGAACCCCAAACTTCCTTTATCTGATTTCACCAGAGACACGTTCAGCTCCACCTCCTACACCAATCAGACCATTCAACAATCAGACAACCGGCCAGTCATTCAAACTAAAGGGGCACATTTCACCACTTCACACTCCAAATCTCCCTCCTGGAACTCTCTCACAGAGGATATCAGGCAAGAGTAAGGCTCAGTCCCATCTCGCCCCTCGCCCTACCACTCAGCCCTCTGGTTTGTGTTCATGTCTAGGGGTAGGGTGTCCTGATTCTTGTTGAGATAGAGGGGTGGGGTGAAGTGCTGGGGCTACATGACCCTCCAAACGGAGAGTTATGAGAAAAACAGAAAAAACAGCGAGATGGAGAACAAGAGATCAAAGAAACACACAAATGTGAGAATTTTCACTGGTAAAATTACAATGACCATCATATTATCTTAGTTTAGTGTTGTTTCAGTGTATTTTGGTCCTTTTCTTCATAGCAAGCACAAAAATCACTAATAGTATGCTAATGTCTCGGTAGCTAGCAAGCTCTCCAGAACTTTCCCGTTCCACCTTAAATAGTCCAGCAGTTCTGACTCCTGAAGCGCCAGAATGTAACTGCTGCTCCATTTAAGGTGGAACAGGGAAAATTCGAACAATAATCTGGACTTCAGCTTCATATCACTGAAGAATTAGGGGTGGGTGATAATAAATAATTGCCCCCCTCTTTGAAGGCATATGATGCCCTAAATGTAACTAAAGCCCAGCAGTGAGGAGCTGAACTTTACCCTCCTCTGCTGTCACTGCAGACTGGCAGGGTCGCCTACAGAGCAGCGCTGGTAGCTGTTAATGAAGTGATGCTCTTTTTATTTGAGGGTCCCATTTCAGAGGGAAGATCTCAACCACTACCCTGTAACTCAGTTCCAAGGGGTTAGGGTGACCCTCAAAAACAAAAATAAGGAATGGGGCGGGGCCTTACTGTACAGGCCTTACTGTACAGGCCTTACTGTACAGGTCTGTGGTCGTACTCTAGTGTTGGTACTGTTACTCTTGTGAAATAATGACAAGTAAAAATACAAATTCGAAAAGAACAACTTTGAAGGAAAATTATGAGCTCAAACCCCCCCCCAAAAAAAACATGAAAAGTAGTAAAATCACCAAAACACAAACCTGCCAGATTTTTTTTTTAAATTAAATAAGAAAGTTCATCTTTCCACTAATGATTACCCACATGAGTCATGTGTGTCGTAAAAATTTGGACTTGAACTATGAAACTCAAGAAAAATATGTGGAAGATGGAAAATAAAATTTAATAACTTCAGAAAGTACCTATTTATATAAGTTATAAGGAGCGTTTTAGCTCAGACTAACCCTGAATGAGACACAGCCAATCAGAACAGAGCTCATTTACATAAACCAGTCTTAAAGGCACAGTAATGAAAACCGCCTGAATAAAGAGAGGTTGGAAAACAGTCATTATAGAATGAAATGTTTTTGTTTTGATAAATTAAGTTCAAGAAAAGTTTAAGATATGGACTCTAAGGACTGATTTAGCTATAGAACTGCAGTGGAACGTCTTAGTAAAGGACAGGAACCGAAGTGCGCACTGTTCTTCTCTTTACACACACTGCAGGAATGAAAGTATTATCATCTGAAAATACTCATCAAAGTGCAACTTTATTCAAATGAGCTGAGTGTGAGGGTGTATCTCGCAGGCTTACGGGCAGAAAGTCGTCCATCTCTTGGCTCTGGTCAGAGAGGGTGAGGTTGACGGGGTTAGGCAGTGGAGGGGGCAGGGGGTCCGGACTGGGGTTCAGACCCGCCCCACCGGACAGCGCCACCGCCGACTTCAGCTCAGAGAGAAGAGGGGACAAAGAGGGAGGCCTGGAAGATGATAGAGAGGAGAGAGAAGAGAGTTTAGACATTTAAAATGCCTTCGACACAAAAGCTCAGCATTTCAGGAAAGATAAATCCATTAAAAAAGCCTCTGAGCTTTGCATCTATTTTTACATCAAAACCACAACATGAGCACAATTTAAAAAAGATTATAGCCTACATTAACAGAAACGCTGCCTTATGTTTTAAGGGAAAATTCAGCCTCATAACTCAGAGCTCGTGAACCGCCCGTGGTGGACTGACCGTTTGCCGACGTCTGTCCTGCTAGCAGACTGGCTGGGGGAGAAGTAGGCCGAGCGGACGGAGTCGTCCAGCTCACAGGGTGTCTCGTACTGCCCGGGTCTGCCCAGGGCCAGGTTGGCGCTGGGGGTTTGGTAGACGCTCCGGTCCCAGCTCTGGCTGTCCTGCTCCAGTCTGGCAGGGCTGAAGGCCTCCTCCACCTCCTCATCATCAGTACTGTCGCTGTAGCTGTCCCTGCGGCTGGGCGACTTCATCAGCAGCCTCTCCAGAACCTGCTCCACAGGGCCCAGCGGCCTCTCCGCCTGCGGAGGAGAAGGCGGTCTGGGGGCAGGCTTTGGCTTCGGCTTCGGCGGGGGCTCCTTCCGCGGAGACACAACGGGAGTCTGAGGAGAACACACACATCAGTTAGTCTGAATAGAGGGGTAAAAATGCACACTAAAAAATATGATTAAACCAGGCTAAATCAAGTCAATACATTAAATCATCATCAATCAAATCTAGTACTTCTCATTATGAGTAAGTTTATGGAATATAATTAATTAATAGATCAGTTTTTTTACATGAGCAGCTTTATCTAGTAAAATTGTCTGTTTTTTTATGGTTGATGGCTTCGCTTGCTTCAAAAAAGAGAGAAGAAAAAGGTTTAATCATTTAGCAGAGCCAAGAAAATAACCAAGGACCCTTACAATCCTGGTCACCAACTGTTCGATCAGTACAGGTGCATTACAAGCCAGACAAACAGACTTAAGTGTAGTTTCTTTGTAGTGTAGCCATCAGAACCTAAATTCCATACTTACTAAGTTCTAAGAGCAGCAATACTGGAATAAGCACATAAGATTTGAAGACTAACGCCACCTGCTGAGCTCAGTTCATTAGTAAAAAGCACTTTTTAAATTTAATTTACTTATTTATTATTATTATTATTAGATTTTTTATAATTTTATATTATTGTTACATTTTAGTGCAGTATTGTACTAAATTATTGTAACTTATTGTTTGTATTGTAACTTGTTTGTCTGTTTTGGTGTGTTTCTGTCTGTTTCTGTTTGCACTGATGAGGAGCAGTACTCTTAATTTTGTTGTATATTTTATATAATGACAATAAAGCCATTCTACTCTATTCTGTTAATATTCTTACTGCAATTTTATAATGACACATAATGAATATATTGATTAGATCTATTTCACTTGCCAAGAGTGATTATGATTACTGGATCAAGAATTGTTCAATGAAGTATTAGATAATTATTTTATTGGCCATAATAAAACTTGCAGGCTTTTTAAACAAAAATAAACAAAGCTTGATTTATTGTTTTATTTTCTGTTTCTAAACTAAAATCTAACATCAGATTTTAGTTTAGAAACATCATAAACTGAATTCTGTATTAATTCACCAATTTATGAGACTCCACTGCGCTGTTCACACAATGAAGTATAAATCATAGAAGATAAGAACTCTCTGGGAGTAACTCCACCTGAGCCCTGCTAACGTATTAGATTCATATTAATCATAAGTCCGGTGTGTAAATATGTTTCTCAGGCTTACCTGGTTGGAGGAATCTATCTTGGGAAGGACTCCAGTTTCAGGCCTGCACAGCAGCAGGGTGACCTCCTGACCTGTCCCTCTCAGCGCTGAGATCACCTCCTACAAAGCAAACGAGCGTCTGTCAGGTACTTCAAACCACAGAGGCCCCTGACGAGGCCATCCTCACCCTCTACAGCCTCCAACCCTGGTCCTGGAGAGCTTCCTTCCAGCTGCCCCGCCCCTCAATTAACTCTAATACACCTGATCAGCCTCTTCCCAAGTCCCTGATTGGCTGGAGCAAGATGGATCTACCTCAGCAGGAAGGTAACTCTCCAGGACCAGGGTTGGAGATCACTGCTCCACACCTCCTACAGCGACGCTGCTCAGCTCTCAGGCCTCCATCAGCCCCAAACTAACACACTGACTGAAACACTCAGGAGCTCCGGAAAGCCTGATAAACGGGATTGGGAGTTCTAGATTAGAGCTGGAACTAAACTCGGAGAACATCTCCAGGAACAGGTCTGATCAGCCCTGCTCAAAATAATCCGCACTGACCGTAATTCAGTCACGTTTACAGCATTTTAGCAGAAGCTCAACTAATTGCTCAGAGATTTGGAACCTCGTCATATTAACAATAGTTATTTATTTAAAAATTTGAACAGTGTATACTTTAGATGCTTTATTTAATATTTCAATTTTTGATGAAAAAATATTCTATGATAAATAATATTCTGTAATTATCAAATCTTATATATAAGAAATATGTCGCATTCTGGATGTTCATTGTTATTAACTAATACTTTACTATTTATTTGCAAAATAATGGCTTTACAGTCATATGCAACAATTGTTTTTTTTTTTTTTATTTTGTTCATTTTAGAAGTTAAAACATCCTCTACAAAGAAGATACAAAAATTTGGCATTTTTCTGGTGATTTTAGTGCACAATTTAATTGATTTGCTCAGTTTGGGGAGTTTAAAATAAAACAATATAAAATGTGCCTTAACTTTTGCACAGGCCAGGTTTAAACAGTAATTGTGTGTTAAAATGCAGAAGTGTGTTCTCTATAGAGGATATTTCATATAAAAAAACTTCTAGGGCCAAAATTTTGCATACATTAGTATGTAAATGAAAAAAGGCAGTATGTATGTATGTGGCTAAGATAAAACCAGCACACTTAACGATGCTACAGGCTTTTATAACGCTATGAAGAGGAAATACAGCAGGAACCACACATTCGTCTTCCTCTGAGCAGAGACAAATTACAGTAAGGGTACTGGCTTGATGCTGGTCAGCGTCTGTTTTAATTGGCTGTTAGCGTCATTAACTGAGAGTGACGCACATGCTGAGAGAGCCCTTTGAGTGACGTCTGATTGACACGCAGGATGACGTCTCCCACTTCGATCAGGCCGCTCTCGGCAGCTGGTTGCCCCGGAAACAGCTTCTTGACCCGAACCATGCTGGTGCTGGGCGGTTCTTCTGGAACGTTCTCCTCCCGGCTGAAGCTGAACCCGAGGCCAGAGGAGTTCTTCAGCAAACTCACCTCAAACACGTTATCTGAGGAGAAGCACACAAAAAACACCCTCACAGAACGAACAGGACTAAAGCTGCAACCAATACTGGACAAATTCAACAATGCTGATGATTCAATAAACAGGCATACGATCCACACAGTCACTCTGACAGACTGTAATACACTACAGGAAGTGTAGGGGGCGATATGGCTTCTACTGTTTCATTTAAAAAGCTCTATAATGTTCATATGATCCACACAGTCACTCTGACAGACTGTAATACACTACAGGAAGTGTAGGGGGCGATATGGCTTCTACTGTTTCATTTAAAAAGCCTCTATAATGTTCATATGATCCACACAGTCACTCTGACAGACTGTAATACACTACAGGAAGTGTAGGGGGCGATATGGCTTCTACTGTTTCATTTAAAAAGCCTCTATAATGTTCATATGATCCACACAGTCACTCTGACAGACTGTAATACACTACAGGAAGTGTAGGGGGCGATATGGCTTCTACTGTTTCATTTAAAAAGCTCTATAATGTTCATATGATCCACACAGTCACTCTGACAGACTGTAATACACTACAGGAAGTGTAGGGGGCGATATGGCTTCTACTGTTTCATTTAAAAAGCCTCTATAATGTTCATATGATCCACACAGTCACTCTGACAGACTGTAATACACTACAGGAAGTGTAGGGGGCGATATGGCTTCTACTGTTTCATTTAAAAAGCTCTATGATGTTCATATGATCCACACAGTCACTCTGACAGACTGTAATACACTACAGGAAGTGTAGGGGGCGATATGGCTTCTACTGTTTCATTTAAAAAGCTCTATGATGTTCATATGATCCACACAGTCACTCTGACAGACTGTAATACACTACAGGAAGTGTAGGGGGCGATATGGCTTCTACTGTTTCATTTAAAAAGCTCTATGATGTTCATATGATCCACACAGTCACTCTGACAGACTGTAATACACTACAGGAAGTGTAGGGGGCGATATGGCTTCTACTGTTTCATTTAAAAAGCTCTATGATGTTCATATGATCCACACAGTCACTCTGACAGACTGTAATACACTACAGGAAGTGTAGGGGGCGATATGGCAGTGTCTTATCAAACAACATAATGCATTCTTGCAAAATACAACCTTATAACTGTATTTTTACAGTAGTAACACATTCAGTGTAAACTGAGCAAAGTATCAGTGCATATTTGTGATCTCTCTCACAAAACGATGCCACACGCCCACCTGGAGTGATGAAGCTGTATTCTTGCTGGCGTTTGTTCGCTGCACTGGACTCGTCCAGAGGAGCTGCAGGTTTGGGCTCTCTGAGGTTTGAAGTGCCCTGAGGGGTCAGAGGGGCATGCACGCTCTCCGCCAGCAGCTGCCCTCTCTCCAGCACCAGCTGCACCACCTAAAAGAGAGAGAGACATTTTATCACGGCTTTCCCATGATGAAGCGACACGCTGACGATGCTGAAAAACAACAACAGAATAATTTCAAGTGGAAAAGCAGAGTTTTCACACAAAGCAGGGGTTTTTATTGGACCAATACGGGAATCATGGGCTGATGCTGAGATCCACGTCTATAGCTGCTGATGCTGATATATACGAAATTATAAAATTCAAAAATCCTTGTTTGTAGAAGGTCATAAATGCAGTAAAATGTATAGAATGCAGATATTTTAGTGCAGTAACTCAGTGTCACCTAAACGCTCTGCTCTTCTGGGGATCAATAAACATATCAGTACATTACAGTCTGAAATACTGGTTAAATCTAAACATCTGTCTGCTGCTGATTTTTTTTTGTTAAGCAAATATCTGCCAATACTGATATGATTCCGATATGACTGTACAGCCGTTGTAGAAAGGATAAGTAATATTCTGTAATTTATATATATTTATAAACATTTATCAAGTTTCCTGGCTTGAGATATGATCAACATATATATGAGAAATATGATCCATTCTAGATGTTCATTTTATTAATAATTTTATACATTTGCAAAATAATGGCTTTATAGTCATTTGCAATTTGTAAAATTATTTTGCTGATTTTCTAAGTAAAAATAAATGAACTGATCCTTTACAGAGAAGACAAAACTTCATGTTACATTACAGTTAGGGGTGGGTCATAATTGTAAAAATATTATATCACAATACTTAGACATTTTCAGGATTCACAATATTTCAACATGTGGATAAAATGCACTAATAGTGGCAGATTTAAAAACTCTTATTATACAAACATTGCTCCACTAATTCCTATTAAACAGAACTCATTATGTTCTCTTTGTAATGAAACATGCAGTTAGTCAGTTTTCTTTATGTAACGACGATATACACGATATGTTCAGAAAAGCGTATTGTTTATCAAAATATCAGTAAATATCGTTATATTGCCCACCTCTAACTAAGAAATGAAGTGTCAAGCTACAGATCAGATTTTTTTGCCTTCATGTGGCACAGACTGTGTGATCACACATCTCAGATATTTTACTTTTTTTTCTTTTCAACTAAGAGACATGCTTTTTTCTCTGGGATGTGGCCGTGCAACCATGCTGAGAAGTACAGCAAACTGAGTATTTACATTTTTTTAAAGAATATTTGTGCAGGACAGGAGACTGTTCACATTGCTGACAGATTCAGGGTTGCTGCACAATGTTTAAAATGAAAATTATACCCATTTATACTGCTAGCAATGTCCATAATATACTAAGAAAAGTGAACTGTGATGGCATTTATGATGACATACTGTCATATTGCACATATAAACGTCATAATCCTGTCAAGGCAGAACAAAAGACTAACATTGAGCTCTAAGGCTTGTAATGTGTGAGTTTAGTCGAAGAGAAGGTTTCCTCACCTGCCCTGTGTCCCTCAGAGTGTCCACAGCTTGCTTATGAGTGGCTCCCTCCAGACTCTTTCCGTTCACAGCCACCACACGGTCCCCTGGGAACAGATCAATATGATATTTATATATATTTAAGGGTAGCTTCTACTGTTTCATTTAAAAAGCTCTATAATGTTCATATGATCCACACAGTCACTCTGACAGACTGTAATACACTACAGGAAGTGTAGGGGGCGATATGGCTTCTACTGTTTCATTTAAAAAGCTCTATAATGTTCATATGATCCACACAGTCACTCTGACAGACTGTAATACACTACAGGAAGTGTAGGGGGCGATATGGCTTCTACTGTTTCATTTAAAAAGCCTCTATAATGTTCATATGATCCACACAGTCACTCTGACAGACTGTAATACACTACAGGAAGTGTAGGGGGCGATATGGCTTCTACTGTTTCATTTAAAAAGCTTCTATGATGTTCATATGATCCACACAGTCATTCTGACAGACTAAGTCAGCTGTAAAGCTAATCTGGGCCGATGTGAGTGAGTTTCTTTTACCCCTCTTGATCCTTCCGTCCAGCTCGGCTGCTCCTTTAGGGAGGACTGCTTTGACGTATATCCCACCGTGCCTCACTGTCGTGTTGGAGCCGCCCTGCACCATGCAACACAACAGTTAGTACACAGCAGGACGCCAATATGGGGGAATATGGGAGAATTATGGGTATTCCTAACAGTGTCCTCTAACCTGAGTTTTGCTAGTGTTTTTGCCTGTTTGGTCACTGGGGCTTGTTCTGAGCAGTTTTTAGTATGCGTGATATCGGATGGGCCGCTTATTTATTATTGATTATGCAAAAGTGGTGTGGTTAAAAAAATAAAAAAAAGGATTAAATTGTGTCATTAAGTGCTTCAAGCTAACAAAGGGACAATTTCTGCTGCTAGGACTAATTTACAGCTCATTCATTTTGGATAGCAGTGATAAAGATCGCATTCTGTTATGCAGGCATGAATATTCAAACAACACCGCATGAATATTCAATCATGACCGTGTTCATGATCTTTGCATTGCCTTCTACTGAAAGGTAATGCAAAGCGGCGAGCATGCAAGATCAATCAGAGAGAGGAATCACACTAATTACACTGCAGCAAGCTGAGGCGCAGCAGACCTCAAGCACACATCGATGCAGGCGTTACAGCAAAACGACTGTCAGCATTATTATTCAGCAATAACTGATCATGTCAAACACGCTGTACACCAGTATTTCCCAGTCTTGGTCCTGCTCTGCACACTGTAAAGATTTCCTGCTTAAACGCCCCGTTTCAGCCCTGTGAAGGGTCAGCTGAAGCCCTGAGGAGCTGTTTCAGATTCATTAGAGCAGTAAAATACTGAAACATGCAGGAGATCCAGGAGCAGGACTGTGAAACACCGGTGTTAACTGTTGGACGTGGGCGCTGACCGGCTGCAGACTTCAGTTCCAGTCCTTATTCCACATTAGGGCTGTCACGACTACTTCTTTAAAAAATAACGTTCTAATTAAATTAGCTATGATTAAGTGGCAGTTTACGTGATGATAATACACATTTTTAATCCTCATATAGTCGTTTAAAGGGTTATTCAGTCATCTTTTTCCAATAAAGTATTTTTATGTCTACATGGATTGTTATTGTCCAGTTACACCCCTTTTTATGGTCTATTTCAGCACAGCAGATTAATGTGGTGATGCCATAAAGGAGCCTGTTTAAACTGGAGAAAATAAACTTGCTTCTGCTTCAGAAACATGTAAGCTCAAATTCTTGGTCTGGTTTAAGAAAATCACAACACTGACGTGGTGGTGGTGTGTTGTGCTGGTCTGAGTGGATCAGACACAGCAGAGCTGCTGGAGTTTTTAAACACCTCAGTGTCATTGCTGGACTGAGAATAGTCCACCAACCAGAAATATCCAGCCAACAGCGTCCTGTGGGCAGCGTCCTGTGACCACTGATGAAGGACTAGAGGATGACCAACACAAACTGTGCAGCAGCAGATGAGCTATCGTCTCTGACTTTACGCCTACAAGGTGGACCGACAAGGTAGGAGTGTCTAATAGAGTGGACAGTGAGTGGACACAGTGTTTAAAACTCCAGCAGCACTGCTGTGTCTGATCCACTCAGACCAGCACAACACACACTAACACACCACCACCACGTCAGTGTTACTGCAGTGCTGAGAATGATCCACCACCCAAGTAGTACCTGCTCTGTGAGGGTCCATGGGGGTCCTGACCACTGAAGAACAGGGTAAAAGGGGGCTAACAAAGTATCAGAGAAACAGATGGACTACAGTCTGTAACTGTAGAACTACAAAGTGCACCTATATAGTAAGTGGAGCTGATAAAATGGACAATGAGTGTAGAAACAAGGAGGTGGTCATAATGTTACGCCTGACCGGTGTGTATATATATATATATCTATACTGTGATTTATTAACTTTTTCAGTTTGTTCATCTCACTGCAATCATGTTTAAAATGGGACTGTTAGGCAGACAGACGGACCAACACTGTCATAAAAACACCATAAATGTTCCATTTACCTGACAAACTGATCTGTTTGTATTACTCAGCAGAGCTGGGGGGAAATCGATACAGCATATTCGTGCACTGCTCCAGTTTGGAGAACTGGTCAGTCCTCTGTGCTGTTATATTCACACGTCCACGCAAGTTCATGCAATCCTTTCTTCTGCACTCAAGGATTCCTCCACCTTAAGCTTTACTTCTTTGTAGAGTTTGAGTTCGGCTGTGTTGGTGAGTCTCGTACCTGGACTCCAGCGTCCTGAGCAGGTAACATAACCTGCGTTTTCCACAACGTTGTGTAGACGCACATGAAGCAGGTGATGGATGGTGTCATTTTCTGAGCTCGCTCACAATTGGAAGGTATCTTTGTAAGCCAGCTGTGTCCAGTGTTGGCTGGTTTTTTGTGGGAGCCAATTTAACTTTGGCTTTGCCGTCATTCATAAACACTATCTCTGGATGGGGGTGTGTGAGGTGAGCTCTCATTTCTGTAGTATTCCCAGAGTATTTTACTTAAGCAGTAAAACACGAGAGGGAGCGCGTATCGCAGAATAACATCACGGCTGTGATTTAGTTGCAAGCACGAGCCGAAGGCGAGTAAGAAATAAATATACAGTAATAAATTAATAAACTGGGCCGTGAACGCGGCGTTTAATATGTTTTAATGTTCGCAGTTCCTTCACCAAATTATAGTTCCTTAACGAGCAGCTTGTTGCTACGTCAGAGTAACGAGCTCCGCCCACTCGCTGCACAGCCGGCAGTTCGTTCTCCAGCTCCTTACACTAAATTCCCAAAGTGTCATCACCACTGAGCAACTTTTCAGTCGGCAGCTGTGACAGAAGAACAGCTGAACAACCTGGAATCAGCCAGAAATGAACCCAACACCATTCGCCAAACGTGTAGTCTGATCTTCAGAGTCTGACCAAATCAGACTGAGCCATAAAACTGCCACAATATCAAGTTCAGCTCAGTTTTGTCAGTTTTTGCCAGATCAGTATTAATGTTGTTTTGTTCCAGCCAGTCTGTAAAGCATCTTACAGCCCATTTAGTTTGGCGAATGGTAATGGTAAGTCGTTGCTTAGCAACGGCGTCTCAGTGGAGTGATACAGTGTTTGTGAAAAACCTGTGATGTTATGGTGAAATAACAGCACAGTTAGAACGCTTCTCAACCAATCAGCTTGCGTGGCCGGAACTAACTGTTGTATAATTTCATACGACACTCCTTGCAATCCGCATGCGTCATATCCACATCGTCTGTCCCTTTCTTGTTAAAAAATTCAAAATAAGTCCAGATGTTTGATATCAATGCGGACTTAAACGCATTTCTGATTTCATTCTTCAGCGCCTCCAACTTCCTCCACTGACCTCACCAGAAGAAAACTCAGCACCATCTACTGGACTGAAAAAGCAACTGATTTTTCTAGTATTAAAAAGTTTAATTCATATTTGCAATTCATATAATAAAGCACTGATACTCAGCATCTGTATATCGATACAATATCGCCATGCAAAATATCGTGATAATATGCTGCATCGATTTTTCCCCACCCCTATTACTCAATGAATGTGACAGCCCTGTATGACATACCTGATTCCAATAATCAAAGCCTTCGTGATCTTGTGAATATTAGACTCAGGTATGTGTTTGATTAGGGTTGTAACTGAACTCCGTGGGTCGGATCTCAGCAGCCCAGCCGAACGCTGTACTGTACCTACTGTGCTTCGATTTTACCGTGTGGAGGTTCAATTCGAAAAGCCTGTAAAATTCTGCATGCAAAGAGAGGCAAAATCTACTTTCCCAAAACTGAAGCCAAGCGAGGAGCAGCGCGGGCTACAGGGAGGGAAAACAAACACACACACAGCGATGAGTAAAGGGGAAAGGGGGAGAAAAAAGAGAGAGAGTGAAAACCTTTCCGAACAGTACCGTGACACTAATGCCCAGACTGCCGTCTTTTTTCGACAGCTCAACGTCATATAGATCTCCAGGTTGGAGACTATTGACTTCTGGGTCACTACCAGTTAATGTGTCCGTGACGGAGTTGGGTGATATCTCCTGCAAACAGAGAAAAGCGGCGTAAATAAACGGCCAGGCAGCCTCCGGCATGCAGCGGTCAAGAGGTTATGGATTAAGAAAAGGCATTCTACAGTCAGCTGAGGCTCTGTTAGTGTCATGCACTAATGAACTGCAATCACAACGCGACTGCAAGTCAAAACAACAGGCAGTTAGTCTGTCAATCACTGAACATGCAGGTTTTGGGGATTACAGAGTTGAAAACATCAGAAAATCCAGAGCAGCTGGTCGCTTACAAATGGCAAACTGTCAAAGGAATAGTTTGGCAACAAAATCTGATTCAAAGAATTTCCCATTCATCCCAGACTGAGATCAGCTGAGACGTGCTCGGTGCAAGGCTGATGCTGCTTAACAATAGAAGTCAATAGTCACCCAAATCTTTTCAGTAAATGCATCCTGAAAAACTCAAACTCCATCCAGGTACTTACAAGACACAGATTCGCAGATGTGGTTTTTATGGCTCTTATGGTGTGTTCAGACTGATTTGATTAGGTTTGATTTTTATTAGTCTGGACATTTTTGGACGCAGTTTGAAATGCGACTCCAATCAGATTTCTACAGATGTGTCTCAGTCTGGACGCTCTGGACGCTCAAAACGGATTTCAAAGTGTCTTTTTCGTCACTCCCAACACGACAAACAGCGATGAGTCGAATCCAGAGTGATGAAGTGCTGGGATTGAAGAAGAGCTCCAAAGATTCATGATGATGATGAGAGTTCTGAGGAGTTTGGAGGGGAGATGATGCTCCTCCATCTCTCCTGCATCCATGCTTGAAATCCACATCACCAGCGTAGCTACGTAGTTACTGACACCAACGCGTTACCACGGCAACCCACGCAGATAGACTGGTGATATCTGGACACACACATCAGATCTGATCACGTGTTCCATCCTGCAACACTTTAATTTAGAGCTCAATAAGGTTCGAGCTGGATGAGAAAAGTTCTGGGGACGCATTTACAGAAAACATTTGGGTGACTATTGACTTCTAGTGCTAATCAACTTCAACCTCAGAGCTCGAGCTCTAAACTAAAGAAGCGAAATTTGGACACCTGACTGCATCTGGGCTAAGTGGGAAATTGCGGTAATTTGATTTACCGCCAAACCATCCTTTTATATATACACTATGCAATGACAACACAGCAGGAATGATGTATATGATGTCTAAGACTTAAGCCTAGTCTTAAACTGCACATTAGCTTTAAAAAAGAAATGCCATTGAAAACACTGTATAGTCCAGGACTAGGCTTAAAGGGAAATTAAAATTTTAAAATTCCTGCATAATTAAGTGATTAAGATGTAATCAGAGTGGTTTGGTGTGAAACACTCTGTTCTAGATAAACTTACCGAGTCAGAACTGTTCACAGTGGTGGTGATAGGAACCAGACGTCCACCTCTAAAAGCTCCCTCACAGAAAGTTCCTACATGAAATGGTTATGAATTCACTGCCTGATGACTGAGACACTGTTTTATGATAGTTTTGAGAACTTAAACTCCATTCATGGTGGAGGGATACATGCAGGGCGCTGTGAGGCAAAATAGTCCCCAAAGAAAACTTATTATTTCAGATTTTCCACTATTTTCCATCATCAACATTCCATATAAACTCAGAAGACTCGTGTAGGTTCACTGGTGGTTCTGGATAGTAAATAAAATGTCTATATCTGTGTTGTAGTCATGGCGACCCCTGGTTCCTATCACCACCACTGTAAAGACGTCTGAACCACTTCACACCAAACCACTCTGAATCTCTCTGTTTACATCTCACTCACTCCCTTTTAATGCCTTTAAATATCCACCCAGTAAACTTCTCCAGACTCATCACTGCATCGTAATTCAAAGCTATCAAACATTTATTGATCATTTGTAACACAGAAATCTCTTTAAAAGCAAACAGGGCAAAAAGACATGAGAGATTAAGAGCAGGTGTCCTTCAAAGAAACAAGACAGCAGCTGTAAACCTGCAGAGCTCAGTCAGTTCAGATCATTATGACGTCTGACGGTACCTTTTTGGACTTTTGCGTTTCGTGGCTGCTCGAGTACGTGTCCTCGTCCATGTCCGAGTCTCCTCTGTCCGAGTGCTCCCGCTCTTTAGGCGCTTCTGGGCTTTTGGCTTTGCGGGTTTTCGGCGGCAGGGCCGGTGGGGTAGCGTCGACCGTAGACTCGTGGTCAGGGGTGGTGGACTGCGCCGGAGCCGTAACCTCATCTGGAGCGTTTCGGTGGAAGCCGTTGAGATGAGTCTGTGAGAGGCTGGATCTGTCGCTTTTGGAGTCCTGCGAGCTGAGGCTCTCCTGCCGGCGACCCGCAGGGGCGGCCTGGGAGACCCCGTTCCTACTGGAGGAGGGAGGAGGAGGGCTGGGGGAGCCCGTCTGCTCCTCAGAGGAAGAATCCACTTCTACTTCCTCTCTGGTTGCGGCCGAGGCCTGAGGGGGCGGGGTTTTGTAGAGAGAGAAATCCGACGGAGAGTCTACAAGAGACACACGGGTCCAATACAGAAATACAGAGATGAGTTAATGTTCAGATCAGAATATCAGACAAGCTGTACAAGGTGGGTGTTTCTAATAAAGTGGCCAGTGAGTGGAAGTACAAGGCGGGTGTTTCTTATAAAGTGGCCAGTGAGTGGAAGTACAAGGCGGGTGTTTCTTATAAAGTGGCCAGTGAGTGGAAGTACAAGGCGGGTGTTTCTAATAAAGTGGCCAGTTAGTAGAAGTACAAGGTGTGTGTTTCTAATAAAGTGAACAATGAGCATCTTTACATGAACAGTTTGCTGCTGTTACCTGGGAACAGCCTCTCTCTGGGCTGGGACACCACCAGGGTGACATCATCTGGAGCACTCTGCAGGATCTCTACGGCTTCCTCGTGAGGAACACCTTCCAGACTGACATCATTCACACTGAGCAGTCTATCACCTAAAGCCACGACACAGGAGAGAGGTCTGACTCTCAGTGCTCCGGATTTTTAAAGGATGTCAGCTAGGGTTTTCTCATGTACCACTAGAGGGCACCATGCAGGTGCACAGCAGGCTGAAGCAGTCATAATGTAATCAGTTAATGTTCCTGGCCCTGGGGGAGCCCTGCCACGCATATTCTGGTGTTTTCTCCCTCTAATTCATGAAACTAATCAGCTAATTAACAAGCCCCTCCTGAGCTGAAGTGGTGTCCGCAGACATTCTTGGGCTAAGTAGGATAATAAAACCATTTAAAAACTCTTTACACTCATATCCTAAAATGAAACGATGAATTTAAGACAATTTAATCTCAGAACACAGGAGATGGTGATTAGGACCAATCACAGTCAGGGGGAGGTCTCAGAACTAACAAGGTGGTGATTAGGACCAATCACAGTCAGGGGGAGGTCTCAGAACATAGGAGATGGTGATTAGGACCAATCACAGTCAGGGGGAGGTCTCAGAACTAACGAGATGGTGATTAGGACCAATCACAGTCAGGGGGAGGTCTCAGAACTAACGAGATGGTGATTAGGACCAATCACAGTCAGGGGGAGGTCTCAGAACTAACGAGGTGGTGATTAGGACCAATCACAGTCAGGGGGAGGTCTCAGAACTAACGAGATGGTGATTAGGACCAATCACAGTCAGGGGGAGGTCTCAGAACTAACGAGGTGGTGATTAGGACCAATCACAGTCAGGGGGAGGTCTCAGAACTAACGAGGTGGTGATTAGGACCAATCACAGTCAGGGGGAGGTCTCAGAACTAACGAGGTGGTGATTAGGACCAATCACAGTCACGGGGCAGTTCTGGGAAAAGACTGAAATGAGCAGAGCGACTTCAGGAAGCACCGATTTACAAACAAGCCTGAACCCAAACCTGGTTTCAGAGAACCGTCAATGTCAGCAGGCCCCCCCGGAGTGATGGAGCTGATGATGGTGCCCAGGTCCATCCGGCCCGAGTTCTCTCCTCCGCTGATCTGAAAGCCTGGAGAAAAACACACAACACACAACGCACAACGCCGTCACACACAGAGACTCACACCACAAAGCTTGTACACCTCTTCTTACTCCTGCAAAGCTGCTGTGTGACTGTGTGTGCTATAAGCACAGTCACTGTAATGTGCAATACGTATGTGTAACATGCATTTTTATTATTATTATTATTCCCAAAAATAAATAATACATGTACATTTATCAAATTATTCAACCTCTTTTATGTGAAACAATTTTCAACGCATCCAAATAAAATTCATTTTAGTTTCTTTTTTACTTCCAAAAGTCTAAAAAAGTCAGCTGATGCAGCCGTAAACTCTCAAAAAGGTAATTCAGTTCTAAAATTCTAAATAAAATAGTTTGGCATGATCTTATGTTTGAAAACCGTGCTGCAAAATGAAGCAACTTTAAAAGCGCATCCTTCTCAAATGTGCAGCGGCATAAACAAAAACACAGGACTTTTATTTTGACATGCTTTTATGAAAGAGGGGCCAGGGTACTGCATCACTAAGAAGACCCCAAGTGACCTGCATGGTGCAATGCTAAGGTTTAGTAAAAGTGTGATATATATACACACACACACACACCCACACACACCCACACCCACCCACACACGCACACACACCCACACACGCACACACACACCCACACACACCCACACGCACACACACACCCACACACGCACACACACACCCACACGCACACACACCCACACACACCCACGCACACACACACCCACACACACCCACGCGCACACACACACACACACACCCACACACACCCACACACACACCACACACACACACACCCACACACACGCGCACACACACCCACACACACCCACACACACCCACGCACACACACGCGCACACACACACACCCACACACACCCACGCACACCCACGCACACACCCACACACACCCACACACACCCACGCACACCCACGCACACACACCCACACACACCCACGCGCACCCACGCACACCCACACCCACCCACACACACGCACACCCACGCACACCCACACCCACCCACACACACCCACGCACACCCACACACACACACACACCCACACACACACACGCACCCACACACACACACCCACACACACCCACACACACCCACACACACCCACACACACACACACACACACACGCACACACATGCACATATAGTAGTGCACACTGGAGTTTAGTCACCTGACAAAATTAAAAAGAGAATTCTAAAATAATTGAATAATTAATTATTATAGAATTCTAAAATAATTGAATAATTAATAAACTAATGAATAAATTATAAAATAATTTATTTGGACGGTCAGCACTATTTTGTTCAGAAAATAATATTAATATAATAAGGACTGTACTTTACATGTGTTTATGTCCATTTAACCATTTCCAAAGCTCCCCTTGAGGAAGCCCAGTATTATTTGTAGTTATCATCCAAACAATATTGATTAAGTTAAATAAAATGTGTTGGAATTTAATAAATCCCGGGGCGTCCAGGGGGAATCTGGAACTTTGCTCTTCAAACTAGATAACAACTCAACGTTTTTTTTTCCAAAACCAGAAAATCTTGTTACTGTTTACCACGTATTTGTTTGTTTACATCTATTCTAAAGCTACACGGTGATTTTGCAAACACGAACACACTGCTGAGACCTTTACTCTGCACTGCCCTCTAGTGGATGTACTGCTTAACATCCATGCCAATGTAAAGGATGCATGGAAGTCTGTGGGCAGTGAGGGCTACGTCGTTTGAAAGGGGCGAGTATAAAGGATACTTTACAGTAGCTTATTAATCTGGAACGTCTTTTCACTCTTAATTAAACCCCTTAAACGCCCTCCTGCTCCCAATCATCTCCACCCCAGAGACCTTCTCCCCTCCAGAGTCAAAGCTCTAACAGCTCAGCTGCTCTCAGATCAGCAGAGTCATTAATCACAGTGTGAACACTGAGGCTGCCAGACCGCTGTCTCAAAGCAGCTCCTGTTATTCCTGCCAGACTGAGAGCGTGTGTGTGTGTGTGTGTGTGTGTATAGGTGTGTGTGTGTGTGTATAGGTGTGTGTGTGTGTGTGTGTGTGTGTGTGTGTGTGTGTGTGTGTTTAAACCATTTCAGGAAAATGAAAAAAATCCATATAAAAAGAGAAGAACACAGCCCATCATATCAGGAGCAACTAAACTATCCAGTTGTTTTACAGTTTTAACAAAAGCTCCATGATTCATTTTTTCCATTATTTTCGTCTCACTGAGGTTCCTCTGCAGAAAATGCCACATTTAAGTTCCGTTGTGTTCTGTGTAGAGCAGGGTTCTCAACCTGCTCCATTTCAAGGCCCACCTGCTTATCACTAGAAAGCGTGAAGGCCCGCAGGAAAACAAAAGTCAACCTTTTTTTAAAAAAATCACTTTTGGAAATTTTTTAACAGCTATGTTTGGGTGCCGCCCCCCCCCCAATGTGCGAAACATACCAGTGAACATAAAATAACAACAGAAGGGAGGCAAATTAAGTACAGTGCACTTCTAACATATTTGAGGGGCATTTTGTGTCAATTATTTTTGTATTTAATGACAAAGTGCCATTACTTGCCCACTGGCCCCCTTTGGTACTAGCCCAAGGACCACCAAAGGGTGCAGCCCACGGCCCTGTGGGTCAATTCTGGTCACAAACTTGAGGATTAAGGAACTGGGTCAAATCAAGCTCCATTTTAGCTGTTAGCCTTGTCTTCACTACTGTGACGTCAATTCGAGCAGCAGCTCTGAGTTCAGCCAATTATAGGAGCTAATTTACTGCAGCAGCATTACTTATATAAAAGCACACCCAAAAAGATGGTCCTTCAAGGGTTCTTTAGTAAAGACAACGGTTCTACACACAACCAGGAACACTCAAAGAACCATTTGCATGTGTAAATGGTTCTCTGCATGGTGAAAGAGTTCTTCTGACTGATGGAGAATCTGCTGTATATGGTTTTATATGGAACCTTTTTGAAAAGGGTTCTATATAGCACCAAAAAGGGCTCTGCTGTTTGTATGTGTAACTTATCATTATAACTAAATAGTCGGTTCCCTCTTAGTTTGTGTGAAATTAATAGCTTTTAAATTTCAGAGGACTGATTGCTGTGGGCTGCCAGAAAGAGAGAGAGAGAGAGAGAGAGAGAGAGAGAGAGAGAGAGAGAGAGAGAGAGAGAGAGAGAGAGACACCGCCCACAAATGACATCACAAACGTTGATTGTTGAAGTCTAAGCAGGAGGCGTCAGTACGAAGCCTGCTGAGCCAGTACAGATTCATATATATGAATACATATGTATATGTGTGTGTGTGTGTGTGTGTAGGTGTGTGTGTGTGTGTGTGTAGGTGTGTGTGTGTGTGTGTGTAGGTGTGTGTGTGTAGGTGTGTGTGTGTGTGTAGGTGTGTGTGTGTAGGTGTGTGTGTGTGTAGGTGTGTGTGTAGGTGTGTGTGTGTGTAGGTGTGTGTGTGTAGGTGTGTGTGTAGGTGTGTGTGTGTGTGTGTAGGTGTGTGTGTGTAGGTGTGTGTGTGTGTAGGTGTGTGTGTGTGTAGGTGTGTGTGTAGGTGTAGGTGTGGGTGTGTAGGTGTGGGTGTGTAGGTGTGTGTGTAGGTGTGTGTGTGTAGGTGTGTGTGTGTGTAGGTGTGTGTGTAGGTGTGTGTGTGTGTAGGTGTGTGTGTGTGTAGATGTGTGTGTGTGTGTAGATGTGTGTGTGTGTGTAGGTGTGTGTGTGTAGGTGTGTGTGTGTGTGTGTGTAGGTGTGTGTGTGTAGGTGTGTGTGTGTGTGTAGGTGTGTGTGTGTAGGTGTGTGTGTGTGTGTGTGTGTGTGTAGGTGTGTGTGTGTAGGTGTGTGTGTGTGTGTGTAGGTGTGTGGGTGTAGGTGTGTGTGTGTGTAGGTGTGTGTGTAGGTGTGTGTGTGTAGGTGTGTGGGTGTAGGTGTGTGTGTGTGTAGGTGTGTGTGTGTAGGTGTGTGTGTGTGTAGGTGTGTGTGTGTGTAGGTAGGTGTGTGTGTGTGTGTGTAGGTGTGTGTGTGTAGGTGTGTGTGTGTGTGTGTAGGTGTGTGTGTGTAGGTGTGTGTGTGTGTAGGTGTGTGTGTGTGTAGGTGTGTGTGTAGGTGTGTGTGTGTGTAGGTGTGTGTGTGTGTAGGTGTGTGTGTGTGTGTGTAGGTGTGTGTGTAGGTGTGTGTGTGTAGGTGTGTGTGTGTAGGTGTGTGTGTGTGTGTGTGTGTGTGTAGGTGTGTGTGTGTGTAGGTGTGTGTGTAGGTGTGTGTGTGTGTAGGTGTGTGTGTGTGTAGGTGTGTGTGTGTGTGTGTAGGTGTGTGTGTAGGTGTGTGTGTGTAGGTGTGTGTGTGTGTGTGTGTGTGTGTGTAGGTGTGTGTGTGTGTGTGTGTGTGAGTGTGTGTGTGTGTGTATAGGTGTGTGTGTGTGTGTGTGTGTGTGTGTGTGTGTGTGTAGGTGTGTGTGTGTGTGTGTGTGTGTGTAGGTGTGTGTGTGTGTAGGTGTGTGTGTGTGTGTGTGTGTGTAGGTGTGTGTGTGTGTGTGTGTGTGTGTAGGTGTGTGTGTGTATGTGTGTGTGTATAGGTGATGCTCGTACGATCCCACGTCCTGACAGGCTGCTGCTCTGAAGGTGTTCCAGTGTGAGTCACTCACCCAGTCCGTACTTCACATCCTTCTTCAGATTGACAGCCTTAATCTCTCGCTCAGGGGGAGGCAAGGCGTTCAGCTTCTTCTTCAGGGAGTCTGAGAGAGGGAACCACAGAGTGACCATAAATAAATGAATAAAGAAAATAAACACTCCCCCATGACCTCACCGCTCCCTACTCCCGTTTCTCCTCTCTTTCACTAGCGCTCCCGTGTTCAGTCCCTGATGCTGTACGTTACTGTAGGTTTGTGCTCTCAGATTTCCCATCAACACTCTCAGCTGGAGGATAACTCAGCATTAGCTGTGGCCCAGCGTAGCCACCAGCGCTACGCTAAAAACAAGAAAGGAAAAAGCAAGAAAGATAAATGGAAAAAGAAAAGAGAGGCAGCAACAGAACAGAATAAAGAAAAAGAAAAAGAAAACATAAAAGAAAGTAAAAAAAAGAAAGAAAATGTAAGAAAAGAAAGACAGAAAGAACGAAAGGGTGAACTCCAAAAACTGGAAAGTGGAAAAAAAAGAGAGAGAGCAAGAAGACACACAAAAGAAAGACAACACTGAAATATAGACAGGGAGGAAAAAATAAGACAGCAAGAAGAAATGATTACATAAATAAATAAATAAATAAATAAATAAATGAAAGGAAAAGAGGATAGAAAAGATGAAAGTAAAAGAGAGGAGAAAGAAATCGTGGAAAAAAGAAGTGGCAGCAAGAAAGAAGAAAAGAAAAATAGGAAAAATTAAAGAAAAAGAGGGGATGACCACAAGGCAGATTAGAGAAAAAAAGGAAAACAAGACAGAAGAAAAGAAAAAATTAAAGGAAGTAACAAAAAAAGAAAATGAAAGAAAAGAGAGACAGCAAGATAAAGACGAAGAATGCTGAAAAATGAAAGAGAGGAAATATTAAGATACATTTTAAAACAGCATAAATAAATAAATAAATAAATAATTTACACACCGGGCAAAACTACAGATCAGCTCTTAACAGATTAGACACAGCAGAGAAGATCAGAGATCTTAAACTGGAGCCAAGACAGAGACGAAGGAGAGAGGAAAGAAAGAAAGAAAGAAAGAAAGAAAGAAAGAAGGAGGAGAATCT